AATATCTACTTACCACATAGGGAGGCTTGAGTGTGATAAGAGGTTTAAAGAATATGATAAACTGTAAAGTGTTACTGAAAGATAAGTCAACAATCTTTTAGAAACAAGAAGCACTGCCCCAGATGGAAAGGTAATTGTCTTCTTGGGTTTGCATTAATAAAGTCGTTTTTAGCAGGGAGAAGAAATTTTGAGATCATTACTGGAGAAATTTAACTCCTAGGTTTCTAATTTATTAAAATACTTGCAATTGACATGTCAGCTTAATGAGGATTCTGTGATTCTTGGATGTGAAGGTGACCTGGCTGTGACATCTGTCATCCCATTAATCCTTCACCACTCCTTGTGTGTCCTTCCCTAAGTTGTGCTCTTGGTCTAAGAAGAGCACCATCCTTGATAGAGGAGTGCCTTTCTTCAGTCAGAAGTGTATAAGTAGCTGCATTCCCTTGCTACAGCCTCCAAACAAGCTCTCAAAGTCCATTTGGAGTAGAACGTAGGGTGTCAAGCTTGCAAGACTCCAGACACATCCAAATGAGGCACTGCACATGGCAGGCTGCCTTTCCTTGGGGGAAAAAGATTCTCTGGTCCTAAGGTTTGTTCCCTCCCAGTGCATTTTGTGGCCTGGTGTCCTGAATGTTAAGAGGTAACTGTGCACTCTTTGCTTTGAATGCTTCTGGGGAATGATTAAAAAGCCCCAGAGCAATTGTTATTTCCCATCCAGAAACGTTTCATGAAGAAAGTTTGATCACACAAAGAGATAAATGGCAGGAGGTCAAGATGGTGGTCATGTTATATAAGTGGACATTTTGAAGGAAATTTGGATTTTATTTTTTTATTATATATATTTTTTGTTTTAGAGAGCATGAGTAGGGGAGAGGGGCACTGGGAGAAAGAGAGAAGAGACTCTTAAGCAGGCTCCATGCTCTGTGCAGAGCCCACTGCGGGGCTTGATCCCATGACCCTCAGATCATGACTTGGGCTGAAGTCAAGAGTGAGATGCTCAACTGATTGAGCCACCCAGGCACCCCCGAAATTAGTATTTTAAAAGCTCTTCCGGGGCGCCTGGGTGGCGCAGTCGGTTAAGCGTCCAACTTCAGCCAGGTCACGATCTCGCGGTCCGTGAGTTCGAGCCCCGCGTCAGGCTCTGGGCTGATGGCTCGGAGCCTGGAGCCTGTTTCCGATTCTGTGTCTCCCTCTCTCTCTGCCCCTCCCCCGTTCATGCTCTGTCTCTGTCCCAAAAATAAATAAAAACGTTGAAGAAAAAGAAAAAAAAAATTTAAAAGCTCTTCCAAATGACATCAGTTCATATTGACAAATCACCATGATTAAAGAATACTTTTATCCCCAAGAAGAATATTTCTGTATAATGGGACTCAAGTCATTAAGCTACTCGTGTCAGTGTGATGTTGGGCAAGGACGTAACTAGTTATTGAAAATCGCTCATGGGATAAGCAGACCTGGAGGTGAGGATGATGGAAAACTGCCAGCCAAGGCGTTTTTGGCTTTCAGTGCAAAACCCCAAATTCTAATATATAGAGGAAAAAACTGTTAATTTAAATAAATACAATGCTAGTAATCCTTCCAATGTCCTTCAGAGTAAATGTGTTTTGGCGAGGTGCTGATACTCTCCAGAGTAGTTACCCAAATGTTTTTATTGTGCAAACGGCCATATTGAAGACACGGGGCAGGCGGGGGCGGGGGGAAGAGGTTTGGTGAGCCAGATGCTGGATGTGTAAATCAAATAGTAGCCCCTTTTGAGATTAGACAGACAACTCCAGGTTTTAGGAAAATGACTGGGGCTTTCTTTGTATTCTTTCTCCATACCAGTTTTATTTAAATCCCTGGATGGAGGCTTGAATTTTCTGAGTAGTAGATACAATGTAGACCTCCTATGTTGTGAAGCGTCAGGCTTCTTTATGTTCTGTTGTGGTTTTTTTGTTTTGTTTTGTTTTGGAAATAGATTAGTAAATTATTCAAACAAATGAAAACTGTGTAACAACAGCAAATTTTTGTAAGGGCATTGGAAAAAGTATGTATTAATTACAGACTTCTATAATTTCAGGGGAATAATTAAAAGGAAATACTTACAGGATCAATAAATGCATATTTGATAAAGCCCCTCTGGATCACGACAGTCTTGAGCAGAAAATGGAGAAAGGTGCATTTATTGATTGTCAAAAATGGGATTCACTAATTGAGTGGATGACAATATGTTACATGTGCTAGTCAACCAGATCGTGTTGTTTTAAAGGAAAAAATACAGCTCTTCTGTTGTGAAGATATTATGTACAAGAACAGTCATTAGACATCTCTCAGCAACTGTCCATAGATTTAAATGTCGGTCCTCAGGTAAATACCACATTGGTCAGAGTAAACTTAATGTTGAGTTTCCTGTGTTCAGGACCTTATATTTAGAGGTAGGAGGTATTTGCTATAGCACAACGGAACACAGTTTGAGTTGTTACTGGCCATAGGAATTTTAAATTTGGATAATTGGATTGTATTATTAAAAAGAGTAAGTTTTTCTGATATCCTGATATATCTCTGGCATTATCTATTGTCATACATAAGGTTGGATATAGTAACTGGCTTCTAGATAGTTTATCAGTTCATTTTTTGGAGTTTTTTTGTGATTATTTTAGTCTTCAGCTGGGCTATTGTTAAAGCCCTGTGGCAGTTGGATCCTATCTGGCCCCTTAGTGAAGTGATGGTGATTTAAAAACAAACAAACAAACAAAAACAGAAAAAGAAAAAGGACTTTATACATAGACTAATGACACTAGAGATGTCAAATACCTGTGAATTGTTATTTAGAAGTTGCTCGCAGATTGGAAAATGGGGGAGGGGGGAATAATTACAAACATGCTGATCTTTTTTGTTAACAGCTATGTTGAGAATCAGTTCATCTACTCTAAAACGTCTCCTGATCATCTTCTTAAATGTTTATTTATGTTGAGAAAGAGAATCCCAGGAGCCTGAAGTGGGGCTTAATCTCATGAACCATGAGATGATGACCTGAGCCAAAATCAAGAGTTGGATGCTTAATTGACTGAGCCACTAAGGTGTGCCCCTGATCATTTTTAAATAAAGGGGAGGGGCGCCTGGGTGGCGCAGTCGGTTAAGCGTCCGACTTCAGCCAGGTCACGATCTCGCGTTCCGTGAGTTCGAGCCCCGCGTCGGGCTCTGGGCTGATGGCTCAGAGCCTGGAGCCTGTTTCCGATTCTGTGTCTCCCTCCCTCTCTCTCTGCCCCTCGCCCGTTCATGCTCTGTCTCTCTCTGTCCCAAAAATAAATAAACGTTGAAAAAAAAATTAAAAAAAAAATAATAAATAAATAAATAAAGGGGAAATATGGACAGTTGTCTCACTACAAGTCCCTTCCATCTATTTTAAAGCATTTTAAATAACAATAAAATGTATGTTTTCACTAATGAGATGATCGTTAGAAAAGCTTTTCTATATCTATAAGCAAGAAGACTTGAGTGGACCAGGAAGGATGTTGTGGTTCCCTGTGTTGGAAATACACATGCTTGAACATGCTGGCGAGTTGTCAGTGTTGTGAAATACTAAAACTCCATTGTGGCATAAGCAATAATCAGGTTAAAAAGAATTACTAGAAAAGCATCTTTTCAGGTTGTCGTTGGAGGAGGCCCTGATAAGAATTGTTTCGATTTCATGATAAATCTTAGTTTTTCCTTTTAGTGCTGATTCATTTAAACTTTTTTTGTGTGTGAAGGGTAGCATACATCCAGAGAAAGTTGTGAAACCTAAGAACAACACAATAAGTAGGATAAAGTCAGCACCTGTATGACTACTACTTGGGTCAAGAGAGAGAACCTTGTGGCCTCTTTGGTCACTTGGAATTTCCCTTCCCCCACTTTGATCCCCTGTCATTTTTATGCTAATCATCTCTTCTTCCATCCCCTAGATGTATAGGTATGTATCAATAAATAAAATCACCTATGTATATGTCCCTATTAAAATTTAATTTTGCCTGTTGTGTAAATCCATAGAAGTGAAGTCACATTCTTTTGGGCTCAACATCAGGTTTATAAGATCCATCCATATAGGAGAATATGGTACAGTTTGTTCATTTTCATTGGAATATAATGTACGATTATATGAACATAATACAAGCATTCATCCATTTTATAGTTTGTGGGCATTTGGGTTTTACCCAGTTTTTTACTGCTGCTTATTCTGCTTTGGACATTTACAGTCTGTAATACCTGATAACACGTGGGCATGAGTTTCTCAAAGTGTGCTTCCATCCATAGCATCTGTATACCATTTGTTAGTAATGCAGATTCTCAGGACCCATCCCCGATCTGCATTCAAATACTACCTTGAATATATATTATATATATTATATGCTTATTTTAGTGACCGTGCTTTTGCTACAAATATTTCCAGGTTTTCTAATTTGGAACTGCTTCGGGAACCCATTAATGATTATATACGTGCCTATGTACTCATACAAAGATACACTCATTGAGTCTCTTAGCAATTGACCCATTCCTCATTTTTGAAACAAATTAGTTTCATCCAGTTTGAGTCAAGTTTTTGGTATTTTTGAAAAGTAACGTTCAAAAGCACTATTTGCCAACATTGAAGATAGTCCAAAAAATATGCAGTAGATGGAAGACCTGCCCAAAGAGGACGTGAATGCACGTTGCGTGAAGCATCATTCTAGAATGACAGCAGCGGAGCACTGAAGACATACTGGACTGACTCCACAATAGGGCAGACGTGGGCTCAAATCCACTGCTAACACTGACTAGCTGTGTCGACTGAGTTTCTCTAAGCTTCGGTTTGCTTCTTTGCAAAGGGAGGATAATAACACTTACTCTAAAGATTCAAAACCATCAGTACATCAAGATCATCTGCAGGGTCACACTAGTAACTGTGAACGCATGTCAGCCGTGGATCAGCAGTATTAATCTGAGTGGGGTGGGTGGTCACACCTTCGTAGCCCTCATGCTTTTTACTTTTGTGCTTCCTGCAGGAACGATTCCAGGTGAAGAATCCTCCCCATACATACATTCAAAAGCTCAAAGGCTATCTGGATCCAGCTGTAACCAGGAAGGTAAGATGGATTTGTTTGCACTCTTTGCTGTCCCTTCCTCATTGGTGAGCGGGCACCTCCTGCACTGGAGGGGACTTTCCTTCCTCTGCATTATAGCCTCTGCTTGAGCCTCCAGCAAGACAGCCACCATGAGGAAACAAAGAAGAAAGCCATCCTTCTCATGTAAGGAGGTGTTAAAAAGTGCTTTCCTGAGATGGGAGTCATGTACCTCGGATGGTTATTGAGTCACTGCCATTTCCAATCACACAGGGCTGCGAGTCCAGAGGTGTTAAGGCCCCTCAGAAAGCAGGCTTAGCAAAGGGAATACTTGTCTTTCATGCTTTGGTGCATTTCCAGAGGCCTTGAAAAATCACTGTGGCTTTGTCATCCCAGCTGTGTGCTCATATCCTGTGTTGATGCTATTAGCAGCTTCCCCCGGGCCTAACCCTGCCCCTGGCCCCAAGAAGGTAGAGAGAGAATAGCTGATTCCGTTCTCAGCTGACTCTCTCCTTTTACAAACAAGCTGTGCTTTGTGCAGCCACACAATTGGTTTAAACTGATGCCTTGTGGTAAAGCATGTAGCCTGGCACAGCCCCGCGGGCTGGGATCGGTCCTGGGATGTCTCAGGGCAGAGCTGTCCTCACTCAAGATGGGTACAGGCACTCTTCACCAGATAGCACTGGTTTTTTGGTTGACCTTCCACAACTCCTGCTTTCAAGGCTGCAGCAACAATAACTTGAGCTGAATTTCCTCTGTTTCAGTGTGTGACTCATGAAAGAAAGGCACACTTTCCCTAGTTGCCCACTGTTTCTAGGGCTCTTGTAATTCTTTTCAAATCTTTTTATCTTCTGCTTCCACTCTAAACATCTCCACCACCCCCATCCAAGAAAATCGAGCAAATGAGAACAGCTTTTACTTCCTTTTGGAAGTTTCCTGACCTTTTGTCCTGTGGTTAATATGAGACAAGCAGAAGAAATACAATCTAGGGGTGATGGACTGTAGACCTTTACTGTCAGCTAGATGCCATATGTGACTTGACTGTGGTGCAGACTCCTCTTCTAAGAATGTACCTGTCAAAGTATCATAATATCCCCACCCCACAAATATGGCTCACGCATGTTCTTTTCTTAAAAGAGCCTCTGTCAGTTCCCCTGAATGAGTCTGTCCCCTCTTTCTTGTCTCCTTTTCCAAGGATATAGCAGCCTTCAGATTCATCAGATTACAGAGGGTTAGATGAAGGCACCACCCCACTTCCCCAACACAACCCAAAAAAAAACCAGGAGAATTTTTTGGCTGTTTCTTTTTATAGGGGCAGCAAGATTGTGTTTTATTATTTTTAATTTTATTATTATTTTTTTTAGAGAGTGTGTGTGCCCATGCTAGTGGCGGAGGGGCAGAGAGAGAGGGAGGGAGAGAGTCTCAAGCAGGCTCCATGCCTAGTGCAGAGCCCAACACAGGGCTCGATGTCACGACCCTGGGATCATGACTTGAACCGAAATCAAGAGTCAGACTCTCAACTGACTGAGCCACTGAGGTGCCCTAAGATTCTGTTTTAGAAATAATTTCAGAAATTCCCCAACTTCGGGATGCCTGGGTGGCTCAGTCAGTTAAGCGTCTGACTTTGGCTCAGGTCATGACTTCATGGTTCGTGAGTTCGAGCCCCGCCTCGAGCTCTGTGCTGACAGTTTGGAGCCTGGAGCCTGCTTTGGATTCTGTGTCTCTCTCTCTGCCTCTCCCCCACTTACACTCTATCTCTGTCTCTCAAAAATTAAATGTTAAATTAAAAAAAAATAAATTCCCTAATTTATAAACCTTCAGGCGGTGGCTCAGACCCTAGGATTAGGAACCCTCATGTTGCTAAATGAGGCAGAAACGTTGGTGTTTATGCGTAGACTGAGTGCTCCTCTCATTTACAGCAAGTTCCATTCCCAATTACCTCAACATTTCTCAGATTCTTAGGAAAAAGGAGAGGATAAGAATACTCCTCGAGAACGCTTCTCTGAGTCCATCCTCAAGTTCTGTAAGAAGGAGATGTTTGGAGAGAAAAGGTGGCTTTCTCCTGGAAAAGGCCCAGTTCTCTTCTGGAACCATTATTCCTGAGCTAAGCGAAGAATGTAAAACAAATAAGCTGTTTAGAGAGTGTTTTGCTCCATTGCAAATAACTTCATAAAGGACAAAGATGAGGATATCTGTGTGGGCTGACCTTCACTCCTGACCAGATGCCGGACCATGTGTTCACCTGAGTGGCCTGCTTTGGTCTGTGCCTTGCCTTTCAAGATCAGTCATTCTGCTGAGAAAAAGATAAAATGGATGTTGAATCAACCACCCTTGCACTTTCTGTCAGGAGCTGGCAGTAGGAAATGATCTTTTCCACTCAACTTAATGCTCATGCTTAAAGCCTGGAAAGAGGAAATTTTGCTTGGAAAAAGGCACGGCTTGCAGTTAGAACAGGTTTGAGATTCTCAGCTGTACTACAGTGAGGAAAAGGGAAGATTTCAAATCGGGATTTTCAATTTTAGCCAAACAGTCTAGACTGAGTTGTCTTCCCTAACCTGTGTCTGGAGAGCTTAAATACTTTAACTCATTTATCTTTTGTTCACATTGAATAGAAGATACTTAATTTGCTGTCTTGTAAGAACATTTCTTAAGCATATTCTGTTTAGATTTTCTGCTAAATAGTTTTAAGTGAAATCCTGGAGGGCAGGGGAGGAAGAGCCTAAATTCTATATCTCTGTGACCAGGACTCTGCAAAATAGCCTCCTCATTGAATACCAGGCGGTGCTGGTGTGTGATTTGGGGAGGTGCATTCATACGTCGCATGGGAAAAGACCATGAAGAAAGGAGTGTGGTTCTCTGCAGGCTGTGCAGTTGTGAAATGAGACCTATTGCGTGTATTTCCAGGGCTCCTCTGTGCGCTCATCCCTGGGCCTGCCTATAATGGAGAGGGCCAGGGGGAATGTTCCACACTACTCACTGATGGTACCTGGCTCCTTGTTGCTGCTCCCCACAAGCACATGGTTTTTGTGTGTGGTGTTTTGAAGCATTCTCAATACATTGTCGTGGCGCAGAGTGCTAACAGTCATTTCCTATGTGTTAGAGAGGTGGATGTCAAGGTTTCTCCATGGTCCCGAGTCCCGCTGACAGTTACACAGCCCTTGAGAGAATATAATACAGGGACAAAGTCAGTTTGGTTTTCTCTGTTACCATGCAGTTGTAAAACTGTAGTGCCTGCCATAGTAAATGCCTGAGAAATGTTATCTGCTACTGTTGTCGTTCCTGGTATCTCCTGGTGTTTTGATGGAGTTGCTCTATTTTGATGTATGCCTCTTAGCCCTTCGGCAGATCCTCTTTATACCCTATTGTGTCCTCGGTGCTACACAGGGTGCCCTTGTGGCTGATGATGAGCTTTCCCTGAGGACCAGCAAAGGCCATGGGGAATGAGTCAGAACTGTGCACAAAGCAAAGCTGGGAACGCTGAGTTGCTTTCTAAAAGGCCACATATGCAGATAGTCTGAGACTTGTGACTCTGACATGGGAATGGCCTCTCCAGAGCAGCCAGCAGGCCTGGGAATGGGTTCCTCAGCTGTGTGGCTGTAGACTGTGCCTCATCAGCGGTCCTCATTGCTGGAAAGCTCTTCAGGAGACACTGGGTTTGGATGTCCCTCCAACTGATACATAACTCTTCTGTCATTTCTTAGGCCTTTCTTGACAAAAGTGGGGAGTGGCTCTTTTTTCATTGTTTTGGGGATGTTTTAATTTCATCTATCTCAATATACCCAGATTCTAAAAACCAAGAAGGTCTTTGGAGTTCTTTAAGAATGGCAGTCAGAGGAAACCGTCAGATTGTTGGCTTCCTTGGGGCCCTGGTGAGAAGCAGGTGGGGGAAAGGAGAAGGTAACAGAAGTCCACCCTTGCTGAGCAGGCTTCCAGTCTTCACCGGGATACCAGGTCCTTCCTGTGGCATGGCAGGGCTTGGATCTGTCCACCGCACATCCTCCCTTTCCAGCCTTCCTCCATTCCTTCCTGTCCTTGGATGCCTTCGTCTTTGGAACTGGATGAGCCTATTTCCACCACAGTTGTGGTAACAGAGGAGAAGTGTCCCTAATATCCTGAGCTAGAATTCTCACAGCCTTTTCTTGAAAACTGTGTAACATGCAGGTGGTTTGGATTTGTAGCACAGAGAGCATAGAACTCTTCTTAAAAGGCATGGTGTATCAAATGTCCTACTTCCAGAGTGGCCTAAGACTTTGGTTACTCTAAATAAATGTTTCAGTAGGAAATCGTGTTCCTGACAACGGATGTGCATTGCAACTCAGTGATACACGGGGATTATTTAGAGTTCAGAGGATAAAGAAGCATATATTTACTAGCAGAGGGTGATTCATTGAAGAAAGAAAGACCTGAGGGGGTTCTAGAAGGATTGGTAGGGTTTTTATTGGCCAGGGAATGAGGAAGGACATTCCAAAAGTAGGAGGGACCTTCCAAATGAGGGCTCATAGGTAGAGGTAACTCTGAATGCTGACTTTTGGGAAATGTTACGCTCTATAGAAAATAACCTAACAGTCCTGAGATGGCTGCCTTAGAAAGACCACCTTGCAAGGGTGGCTCTTAGTTGGCACTTGGGAACTTGCATTTCAGGGGAGTTCATAACTTTCCCTGATAAGAAGGATTCGCTGTGCCTAAACTGTTCATGCCAACAATACAGCTTATGCTGACTGCCTTTTTTCTTCCTGGGAGTCTGGACTTGTGGTATGTGCTAGGCAGAGAATGCCTAAGTGACCAGCTCTCAATAAAAATGCTGGCGGACAGCTTTTCTGGTGGACGGCATTTCACAAATACTATCATTTGTGATTCCTCTGGGAGAAGACTGTTGGAAGCTTGTATCTGTTTTCTTCTGGACTTGACCCCGTGCACCTTTCCTTTTGCTTAGTGTGCAATAAATCTTAGCCATAAGGACAACTGTATGCTGAGTTCTAGGAGGGAGTCTTAGGAAATCATTGAAACTGGGGGTGGGTGGGTAAGGGAACCCCAACACTTAGGTATTTTGGTGAATATTGTAGGGTAGGGAAAAATAATGTACTTACTCAAAGACACCTAGTGTATATGATGTAAGTAATTTTTTAATCCTTTTGCACAAGCTAATTTTCATGATGAGAATAATTTGTGTGCTTTGCAAAAGGAAATGCAAGAGAAGCCCACTTTAAGAGCAGAGATGTTTTCATATTGTGTTAAACAAGCGGCAGTTATAGCAGTTGATGAAATCTTTTTTGTGAGATTATGTGTTCTTGAATTACAGAAATTCAGGCGGCGTGTTCAAGAATCCACACAAGTGCTAAGAGAACTGGAAATTTCTTTAAGAACCAACCATATTGGGTAAGTGAGCCCATTTAACATTTTAGCTTTAAGGCTTTTGGACACTTTACCAAAAGGCTGAATCATATCCAAAGAATTCAGCTTCCTTGTTGATCATTACAGATTAAGAGACTGAGGTTTAGATGGGCGGAGCCGTTGTTAGTACTTGAGCTGCTATCAGTAGAAGCAGGACAGACGGTCTTTGATTCGGATATTAATAACAATCCTAAAATTCTTTGCTTGGATGCAGTGATAGTGCTTGGTCTCTTGTGTGTATAACAATTCCTGGCAAATCAGGAACTCGCAAACAAGTAATGTATCCTGGGATCCTGGAGGATCTCTCAGGGAAGTCTTGCACCTGGTTAGTTGAAGTTGCTTCATTGTGCTTTCTTCAGCTCCAGAAGGGACAAGAAACTGGAATGATGTCACCTGACGCCCCTCATTGCACTTAGGTGTTCTGAGTATCTCTGTCCTGCATCCCTAGACTTCAGGACCAGGAGTGTAAATCCACTCCGAAAGATAAAGTTGGGAGAATCTTAACACTAAGCATTTCTGGGAATTTTGCATGCGACTTGCCTCTAGCGAGTACAACTGTATTGCATTCTCCCTTACTCCTAGAATGGCATAATTGTACAGTACCTTAGAATAAGAGGATTCATCTCCAAGGCAGAATGATATCAGATATGCTCTTTTGCAGCTTTAGTTCTTCGGACATACCTGTTTAACACCCAGCCAGTTATTTAGCCCCTCTGTGTTTTGATTCTTTGAATTTAACAGAGAGAAGATTATAGACTTTAGATCTTTCAGAATTTTTTCCTGCGACATTCTTTGCAAGTCTATTCGAAATGAAGTTTTGCATGTATGTTACATTACAATTTTGCAGATTATTATGTAAAACAAATACACTCCAGCAATCATAGTTTACTTCTACTTCAGGCTGTGCTTTGGTATAAGCCATTCAAATGGTTCATTTCCACAGTTATTTCAGAATAAGCTTTTAAAAAAAATTTTTTTTATGTTTTTATTTATTTTTGAGATACAGCGTGAGAGGGGGAGGGGCAGAGAGAGAGAGGGAAACTCAGAATCCAAAGCAGGCGCCAGGCTCTGAGCTGTCAGCACAGAGCCGGGCACAGGGCTCAAACTCAGGTACTGCGAGATCATGACCTGAGCCGAAGTCAGATACTTAACTGACTGAGCCACCCAGGCGCCCCAGAATAAGCTTTTTTAAATTGCAGATAATGCAAGGTTGATTTATCGGTGATGAAGCTTGGGTGAGAATGTTCATTTCCTAAAGGATAACTGCACATTTGTCACCTTGAGAATGAAGTATTTGGAAAATGAACTGATTTCTAAAGTTGATAATCACTTTGTCCAAGAAAATGGACTGTCAAGCAGTGGGTCATAGAATCATGGTATTAGAACTGGAAGAGAAGTTAAGGATTACCTAGTTCTTCATTTACAGATGAAAAACATTCAAGACCAGAGAAGGTGAGTAACTCCTATAAAGTCTATGGCTGTACAGCCAGGTGCTGTGGTTCAAAATGCCGTGTTCTTTTTCTTACATAGTCTAATCTGACAGCTCTTTCCCCGAAAGGAAGTAAGGTAATCAGGGCCCTGGGATCAAAGCAATGAGGCTTGTCTTTTGGGGGTGAAAGTGGTGGTGATTTAATACAGTTGGGCATCCAAGCTTAGGAAACTCAAATACTTTCCAATATTTACAGATCAGGAACTAGATTCCATTTGGTAAGGTCCAACCCTGGACTGTTGGCACTTCTTCTTGACTGACAATGGTAGAATGAGCTGCAGCCAGGGTTTCTACAAATTGTCAAAGAGCATTGCTGAAATAATGTGAAATTGACCATCAAATACCAAAGCAAGACAATCCTTTCTGATACAAAGTTGGCTGAAGAGAAGAGCCTGGGTTGGCCTGGAGCCAGTGCAAATCTGCAAGCAATCCGAGTAGTTTGCTGTTTAGGATACTATAGGCATGTTGAAAGATTCTTACATTTCTTTCATCTTTAGCATCTGAAGTTTCCCTTTGTCTACCACCTATTGTGTGAGACTTTGTGAAAGCTTTGGCTCGAGCAGCAGAAAAATTCATGGCGGCTCATTTTCTGGTTGCATACAACCATTTTTTGGCTTCTCCTTATATGGAATGAAGCCACGCACCAGGGCTTTGACCTATCTTGACTGTCCTGAAAATCCAAACTTGAACTGGACTCTTCATTATGGAAACTAACTGGCTTGACCTCATTTGATTGGAAAGTCTTTTGAAGAATTAGTAATATGAAAATCACCAATTATTACAGTGAGGAATTCTTGGAATGCAATGTGCTATATAAGGTATTCATAGATTTTATTGCCCTTTATTGAGGTACCATAATAGAAGAATAATTGGGTGTCCATTGTCTTATGGAAAAAGAGATCTTGGTTCAGATTTTTGCTGTGCTCTTGATTAGTTATTAAATAAGTTATTTAGATGAGTTGCATAAGCTCTTTGTACTTTGTGACCTAAGTTAACTTCTTATCTATAAAATGAGGATATTATTTACCAATATGAATGTTGTAAGGTTAAATGAGATAACTTATGAAAGACCTAATATAGGCTCTAATACATAATAGTTACTCAAAATATGATAACTATTATTGTTAGGCTTATTGAAAATAATGTTTAATAATAATTCAATAATATTATTTTACCTCTAAGGAATTCCATGCAGAGATTGTTACTTTCTCTGTCTAAAATGACCCTGACACCTAGGAAATTGTGATTCCCAGAAATTAAAAGGAAGAATTACATTTAAAATCTACTTGTCTTGTAAAGGTTATTCTTGGCACATGCTTGTATTGTAAGCCTAAAGTCTGAGACTTTGCTGAGATAACATTCCAAGGTACAGCTTTGTCCAGCAAAGGGTTTGTTCTGAGTTGTGATATAAGCCTAAAACTGTATAAATGGAAGCAATCTTCTGAGAAAGAAAATTAATTTTCTTTGAGCCAAATTGAAGTAAGAATTGGACTAGAAGTAATCTTATTCACTTACTCTTTAGGAACTATAATAATAGAGAAGAATTGGATTATGACTTATCCAAGCCCTTGAAATGACTTGAAATACCCTTGAAAGGAGCCAAGTACTGTGAGAACACTTTGGCTATGCAGTGTGAGTAGGCAGAGATATCTGTGGTGGTATTTTGGATGTCAGGGCGATAAGATTCAGGTGGTGGTGGTGGTGGTGGTGGTGGTGAGCTGGGTAGGTTTATGGGCTTTATTCCTGGCACTGAGGTAGAGGTTCTGTCTCTTTGCAGGTACTTTATTGTAACAAAACTCTCCATTAAGAGAGAAAATTACTTTTCATTCTGAGTGCAAGAACATAGATGTCCTGAAAGATGCTCATTTCACTTTATCTCATTGGAGCTGCAAGAATGGTCATGCGGTCGTGGGAGGAATGTGTCAGTTGGCAGGGAGAAGATTTGTGGAAAGGGGAAGGAGCCCAGAAACTGCTCAGTGAAGGTCTTTTCTCCTGCAATTCCCAGAATCTTGGTGAACAGGGTCTGGCTGGGCCAGGCCAGTGAAAAGAGAGAGAAGAATAACTAAGGCTTTTAACAGGTGTACGGCTGATTTGGGGTGTGTGTATATATCAAACTGTGCTATGATTAATTCATTCTTAAGTGTTGATTCTTAGAAATCCTAAAGATTATGATCTTGTCATTTATTAAATATGTTCATCGTGTTATTTCTTTTCTTTCTTTTTTTTTTTTTTTGTGTGTGTATGTTTATTTTTGAGAGAGAGTGGCAGAGCACAAGCCGGGGAGGGGCAGAGAGAGAAGGAGACACAGAATCTGAGGCAGGCTTCAGGCTCTGAGTTGTCAGCCCAGAGCCCGATGCGGGGCTGGAACCCACGAACTGTGAGATCATGACCTAAGCCGAAGTTGGATGCTTAACCGACTGAGCCACCCAGGCACCCCATCATTGTGTTATTTCTTACAAAAATCTTTTTATTATTGCCCTTTACCTCTGAGCCCCTGTTTATAGATGAGGAAAGTTAGAGTCAGTTACTAATTGTCTTGCTTCAGTCCACACAATTGAGAAGCACTGAGATTTGAACCTTGATATGTCCAAACATAAAGTCCATTATCTGAACCAGCAGTTTTTAAATTTTTTGATTTCAGGATTCCTTTGCTCTTAAATTATTTTGAACCTTAATACGCTTTTGTTTGTGTGGGTTTTATCTCTTAATGTTTACCATATTGGAAATTTAACTGATGAATTTTCACTTTGCTTATTTAATAAAATTTAATTTTTATTTTAAAGTAAATATTTAATAAATACAAAGTTGTAAATACAAAATAATAAACATAGCACAAACAAGATATTTTGTGAGAAATATCTATTTTCCAAAGCAACAAGAAAAAAATAGTAACAGGAATGGCATTGATTTACATTTTTATAAATTTCTTTAATGTTTGCTTAATAGAAGGCAGCTGGATTCTGACTTCTTTGTCTGCATTTGATTTGTGGTAATATGTTGTATATGTATGTGAAGATGTACATGAAGAAAAACCGGCCTTACACACACATATGCACTTGAAAAAAGGAGTTTTAAATAACCTGCAGATAATTGTGGATATTCTTCTTTCATAGTACACCATCCTTCAATGAGTGGTAATTTCTTTGTAGAATCTGAAAGAATATCAATGGGCTTTTGTACTTGGTTAAACTAAAATTCACTGTGGGTTTTTTTTTTTTTTTAATGTTTATTTTGAAAGAGATAGCATGAGCTGGGGAGGGGTGGAGAGAGAGGGAGAAGGATCTGAAGTGGGCTTTGCACTGACAGCAATGAGCCTGATGTGGGTCTTGAACTCAGGAACTGTGAGATCATGACCAGAGCCAAAGTCAGACCGTCAACCGACTCAGCCACCCAGGTGACCCCACTGTTCTATCTTGAAAATTGAATGGGTCGTTCCACCCAGGCATAATTAGGGTAACATCATGAATTGGTTATTTGGAAAATATGGTTTCACTGAGTTTTTCTGATCTCTCAAAGATTGAGACATTTTATTCTACTATGAAAACATTCACATTCATTAATAATTATCAGTGTAATCTGAATATACTTTAAGGATTGGGGAGTTGTCAAGTTCGTGGTGGGGAATACAAGTGTTCCAGAATTTTTAGTTTTTTGTTTGAAACCTCATATTTTCTAATGGACAACAAATCCTCTCAGTTGTTTTCCTTGAAATGATACGCTCACTTCATTCACTTTTGAGAAAATGTCTGCCAAATACCCAAGACAGAGTAACTGTATTTGTTAGTCATTTTATGTTTCATGTAAAAAAAATAAATAAATAAAAAGTAAAGAACAACAAAAAAAACCCAACAACAACTTGTTCAGTTGGTGTCTCAAAAAACTGCACAAGTGCTTTTCCTGGAGTCAGCTGTGGCACTTGGGGAAAGTAGGGGAGAGAGGTTTATGTGGGCTTTCCATTTTGTTAGATAGAAAATTAAAAAGATACAAACTCATGGCACAAGCTTTACTAAAATCAGTATTTTTTTTTTATTGCTTCCTTAAGGACAGTTTAAAGTGAAGCTGACTTTTTTTCTCTCCCAAGTGCTCTGGGTGAAGAACACTAAATAGGTGTATTTTCTGCCAGTCGCAGTTTTCTCCACCATTTATTTTGTACCATCAGTGTGGGTGTCAGCACTGTGGAAAGCAATTACTATCTTAATATTTTTGTGAAAACAGTTTTAACTTCCCAAACCCCTCAGAGGGTCTCAGGGACCCCTAGTGATGTGTGGGCTGCACTAAGAACCGTTTGTGACACTGTCTTGAAGAATAGATTTGGCAGCTGATGGTTTATCTGAGTGATGCTTACCTTCTTTCTCTTGCTGCTTGTGATTTTTTTGCATGATTTTTCCTCAACTGCAGTTTCCGCCATGTATTAGGAGCACCTTCAAAAGGAGACTGGCAAAGGGAATTCACCACTGTCCCTTACCTTGTGATCTTGGGTCTGCTTTGTTTAATCTTAGAAATTTGGAGCCAAAAAGGTCCCTTGAGACTTCACTTTCTAGATCAGAACAATGAGTTTCTAAAGTTGGCCGGGTTCAGGGGTGGGGTGAGGAGAGTGGAAGCAGAGAGAAACGAGCAACTCTGAAACAACTTGAACCTGTCTATGATAAAACAGTAACTGTTGACATCTGCACATAGATTCCTTCCTTGAGTAAGAGTTTTTTTCAGAGCTCTTTTTCCTTATCATGGTCTCTTCCAGCTCCTGAGCAGCTGATTTGGAATTTGCCTAATTCAAATTTACAACATACGGTAATTACACTGAATCTGTGGGGGTACTCAGTGATGCATGCTATCAGAGTCAGAAATAATTCTTGTTTCCAGAACCTATAATCATCCAATTTGAAACGGTGTGCATGTTGGCAACATGTAAAACAAAACAAAAAAACTATATAATATGCACAGAAGTGAAAAATGGAAATAATTTTTTAGAGGAACCCTAAATTTATATGTCATTGCAGGATCATGTATGTGAATCTGCACAGTAGGGCTTCCATTTTTTTTATGCCTTTAGGTTAAAGATACTGCTTTGAAATTTGCCCAGTTTTCATCTTTACCCATTTTGTTTGTATACTGTTTCATCTCCTCAGAAGTTCACTCTCACCTCTGTTCTCTCCTCCACAGTATATCCCAAGTGTAGAGGGGCTAGGAATTGATAAGAGAGGGGAAAAAGTGAAGACTGTTTTGTTTTTTTTTCCCGTAAATGCATAGCCTTTTTGCTGAAATGACTTGGCTAACCTTGGATCGTTTGGCAAAGAGGATAAGGAGGTCAACCATGGTGGATTTAAAAAGGTTTTTTTTTAAATTATTAAGTTTATTTATTTTGAGAGAGAACGTGTGTGTGTGTGTGTGTGTGTGTGTGTGTACGTACAAGCAGGGGGAGGGGCAGAGAGAAGGAGAGACAGAATCCCAAGCAGGTTCCACATCATCATCATAGAACCTGATGCAGGGCTTGAACTCATGAACTGTGGGATCATGACCTGAGCCAAGATCAAGTCGGATGCTTAACCAACTGTGCCACCCAGGTCCCCCCACTGTGGTAGATTTTTATCTTACTCTTCCCTAAATCACCTAGGGGTGTCTGGGCCAGATCAAAGACCCAGGGAAGATCTCAGGGTTTAGAAAAAGAGATTAACCTCATGAAATTAAACCTCTCAGAGGCAGGAATTGTTACACTCTAGCCAACTTGTTAGGAACTGTGCAGTTTGTTCCTGCCTTTCACTGTGAAAATTATTTTTAAGGCACTTACTCTCAAAATCAGCAACTGGGGCTGGAGGCATCCATAATAGCATTGGATTCAAGAAAAAGAAGCTAGCTAAATAGTCTTTATCCCTGCATGAAAATGTGTTCATATTAGTACTTTGAGTCAAGAGAATTGTGGCTCCTGCCGTGCGTGGCTCCCTCCCTCCCTCCCTCCCTCTATTTTATTTAAACATTTTCTTATCTGTGAGTCATTTGCCTCCCATTTAGTTTGTGGCTAAAATCCGTGAGTTGGAAGTGCTGGTGGTTAAGGCAGTGATAGGTCCACAGGGTGTCCTGGACCATCTCTGCTCTTTAGAGGCTATGTCTAGAAAATCAACCAGAAGGAACTACAATAGTTGTTGTTCTCATCTTCTACACTGGAGTGTTTTTATGAGCCACTGAGATAGAAAGTGTAGAATTGAGATTGCTCTGTATCATCTGGAGTGTATGGTGACTCTTCATTCTAAAATGAAGACCTCCGTGCCCAGCCCCCAGGATTCATGCTGCATGCCTGCCATTGAGGGCCAGTTTCAATCACCCAGCCAGAGCTCACAGGCCAGGCCACTGGAGAGGCCTTGGAGAAGCTAAGAGGCTTGAGTTTCCAGAGCAGCTAGTGAGCGGATTTCCATAGTGACTGCCAGCCTTGCTTTAGTGTCCTACCATTTATAAAAAGAAAATTTATTTACTATTTCTAGGCTTCTAATTATTTGCACTTAAAAATGTACCGTGCCTCCTGAGATCTAGCTGTAAAGGGAGAATAATTAAAATAAATCAACAAAGTATCCAGAGGCAGAAGCCAGGAGACGCTGTATGTGGTGGTTTTGAAGCCTGACGGGTGGCCAGCTCTTTTAGTTTTTGTCAGCTCTTTTTTTTTTTTTTTAAACGTTTATTTATTTTTGAGACAGAGACAGAGCATGAACGGGGGCGGGGCAGAGAGAGAGGGAGACACAGAATCAGAAGCAGGCTCCAGGCTCTGAGCCATCAGCCCAGAGCCCGATGCGGGGCTCGAACTCACGGACCGCGAGATCGTGACCTGAACTGAAGTCGGACGCTTAACCGACTGAGCCACCCAAGCGCCCCTTGTCAGCTCTTAAGAGACGTAACGGGTGGTGTTCCTTTACTTTCCTCTCTAGGTATCTTTTTGATATTATTTGCTTATATGTGGCTGTGTTAGGTGCATACATTTTGTGATAGCCTGCCTGAGACACTTGGGGGAAAATACGAGATAAGCTGCCTGCTTTTCCTACCTTGCTGCCTCCGGGGGCTACCTGCAGACCTGAGTTTGCATCATGGAGATGAGAGGAATACAACAAAGAATGAGCTTGAGGATAAAGGAAAAAAGGCCCCAAACAGAATTTAAAAACAGGCATCCTGAGTCCATCAGATTTTTTTTTTTCTTCAGTCAAGACGAAGATTTTAAGGGATTTTTCATCCTTAACAATACACGTACGATTGTCGTCCTGTTGTTATAACGGCTTGCGAAACTAGCTTCTAGAGTAGCAATCGTGTCCAGAGCTGGTGGGCCTGTTTTTTGCTTGGTGTTTTTGGAGGAAGGAAACCAGTTTTGGAACGCATGTGGGTGATGTACCTCAAGTCCCATTTCTGTGATAGTAGCAGACTTTTTTACTTACTTGTCAGTACCTAGTGAAGGCTTATTAATCAGGTATCATGCATTCTTTGAAGATGAATGCCCTGGAGGAAATCCGTGGTAGCAAGTGTTTATCCTCAGTGCCTGAAGGTTCTGTTTGACCACTCTGCTTCATCTCTAGGAGTTATGGTGAAGTGCAAATAAAAATCAGTAAAAATTCTCACTGAACTGCATTCGAACCCACCATTTAAATGCAAGGTGATACTATTTAAAATGAATTAAAGAAAAACATGATCTGTCATGTCTTGGCTTTGATGATGGTATGCGGCGCCTGCAAGTTTTTAAGAGGTTTTAACATTCATGGAAAAAATTAAGCAAATAATTAACCCTATTGAATTTCCAGAAGCCCCTAAATGCTGGTTTCTCATTGGCTAGTTCAGTGTTTTCTGTGGCCTAGTGTGCCAAGAAGGACTTGAATGTGGATTTGGAATCATGCCTGAACTTCACTGCTTATGTCGTCACGTTCCTAGCTTGCCGCGTTCCCTGTGTAGTCTTGGCTCCTTTAACAAGCAGGCTGTGGGTCAGTTGTGGTAGAAAAAATACACTTAGCAGGTTCCTTTTTTAGAACACTTCCTACAGGTCACCTCAAGTCTCCTAAGCAGTAAAATGCAAGGGAGGCACATGTATACCTTTTGCCCCCTTTTCTTGCACGTTGAAATGCTGTGGTTTTTATATGTGGTTTTATATGTGGTTACCATATTGAAAAGTACCTACTTCGTGTGATGGAGTCTAGGTCTGCCTCCGTTATTTCCTTGAAGTGAAAGTTTCTGGTGGAACAGTAACTGTGTTCACTGGGCTTTCTCATGGCAGAGCATGTGATGAACCTCTGTGATAATTGTTTTTATTTTTAACAGATGGGTCAGAGAGTTTCTGAATGAAGAAAACAGGGGTCTTGATGTTCTAGTGGAATATCTATCATTTGCGCAGTACGCGGTCACGTAAGTAAAACTTGGCTTTTGGCTTTTGAATTTCATGTGGTCACAGAAGATGCAAGAGAGTGGTAAAATTACATACCGCATTGAGGGGGAGAAATCCAGCCGCAGATGTGGTAAGGTTTAAGGAGGTTTGTTTCTACTCAAGTAGCTAAAAGCAAATCACGTAATTGTTATTAGAAATGCTTTCAAGGCAGAAGTAAAACGGGGGAATAAAAATCACCCTTAGAGGAGTCCTTATTTTTAAAAGAGGTAACTTTCTTCAGTGCTCAAGTTACATTACGTCCATATGGTAGAATACCCTAGCAGATACTGAAAGAGGTATGTGATATACTGTTGAGTGAATAACACATGACACAGAAGAGTGACTTTCTTTTTATTAGAAAACAAAACAAAAATATATACATTTGTACGTGCTAGCAAATGCAGAGAAAATAATTGCAGATGGGGATACCAAATCTAGTGGGACTGAGGGGAGGAGTAAACAGAGGCTTTGCTTTTTTACTTGATGGGTATATTTGTGTTGTTTTGACTTCGCCTTCCTAAGGTGAGGGAGGAGAAAATTGGGGCAGAGCAGGAAAAAAAAAATCAATGTATTCAACCTTGTTTTTTGTTAATTCATAAAATTTTCCCATTTGCGAGGCTTCTGGAAGGATTTACAACAGGAATGAGAAATGTACATTTGGATGAGACATTTTCTTCTCCACATTCCCTCCTTTAGTAAAAAAAAAGCAAAAAGATTGCAGTATCCACCGATAGACTCTCTCACACACACAGATTGAGGAAGTAATACTTAATAATTATATTTACAATTTGTTTGGAAGACATTTTGACTTGGGTGATAGTGTTTTCCCCTCTCTCTGTGCTGCCTTTAAAAGCAGTAACTTGTTTTTTTATATCGCATCATTCCAAAGAAGTCCTAAGACTGAACCAGCTGTTATCTTAGAACTCTCAGCACTTCCTTGAGAATGCATGAGGAGAAAGCTGTAATTACTCCTACCTAACGGATGCAGAAATGACAGTATTAACTGAGACTAGCTTAATCAGTTTCAGGTTTGATAATTCTGGTGTATGATGTGAAGTAGAGTAAGAGACACCGATGGACAAGTTCTTAGCTTTTTAAGAAGTTGTCCTCTGAGGAATAACCCACTTTTTATAGCCTATTCTTCCAAAGGGGGTTTCTTGTCTATGTCCATCATGTCAAAAACTGCTAACCTCTTTTTCACTTTATATTCTGTGACAAACACGATAATACTACCCTGCTGCATTGTTTAAAATCTGAAGGAATGGTTATGGAATCGAGGAAAAGCTAAGAAATTTCAGTGCAAATTTCAATGGAAAAGGATGGCACGCTATGTATGAAATGTTTGCTGTGATTAACCCTTTACCTATATAACGATAGAGCCTGTGAACCAGTTTTCCCAAATGTACCCTCACTTAGGACCAGCAGAAAAAGGAGGTGCTACCACGAGGGGATCCTAGTTGTGGCATAAGATCAAACCCAGCAAAAGATCAGAACTCAGAGCTGTGGTTTCCTAATCTCATTTTTTTGGCGTTGCCTTTACATTCTCTGCTTGCTAGGTTTGGTTTGCTTTTGCCTTGTTTAGATAAGTTTTATATAAATACATAACTTACGTTCTTTCTTGAAACTAATGGGCTGAAAAGTTCCTTACTGTTTCTTGGCTTGTGACAGTTTCCTAGCCCAGGTAATGTGAACCAACAGGTTCATGTTCCATCCCTAAATAGGATGCTTAACTAAGGTGTGTGTTTCCTAATTCTGCTCTGTAAGGGGGGTGGGAAGGGTGAGCTGAGAGGAGTGGGAAGCTATGGAACAGCTGACCAGTGACTTGGGGGTTGCAGAGTGACTTGGCGAGAGTAACAGTGACACGGGTGATCTTGGGGTGCCCCCCTCAGCTTACCTTCTCCAGTATCAGTTGTAGACTTCTATTTTTAGTTCTTAAGGATTTGATTACTCAATCCCACCTCTTTTCTGTTCAGCTTTGCTTCCTGCATCCAAAAGCATGACAAAATGGCCAGATCCATTCACTAATGATACATCAGTGGCTCATCCGAGTTTGCAGATGACAATTCTGACGGAATTCTAACAGAACTTTATTTTGGCCATCGTACTTTTATAAAAAGTCAAACTTTTTGACAAAAAGTCCTACTGGTTTTTTCCGATATGTATTGTTACTGTCTCTTCTGCAATAGCCTCTCGAATCTTCCATGTGATATTAAGTATAGCTGCCTTCTGTTTATTCTCTGATCAGGTGTTGCCGGGTGGAACTATGGGTAGAAACACTTGAAGTATTTTGTCGAGAAAGGAGAGCTACTAACTTTGGGAGGAGAAAATGCATACAACACAAAGGCCTGGCTGTTTAAAAATTTTGTTCCTAAAATTATGCAAAAATGAGCAACTTAACTCTCCATTTATTCTAACATGGTTAACATGAGTAATAACCTCAAAAAATGTCAGAGAGAAACAACAGTCCTACTTTAAAGAGCACCACATTGGGAAGAGATTCCAAAATCAAAGCAAATCCATAACTTTGCGAGTAATGTATCACATATGGTTGGAAAAGTACACTTGCCAACACACTAGGAGAAAATGCTCAGTGAAAATTGATGGGTAGGAATAAATTAGTCTAAGCCTACATATTGACTTGTTAAAGCAAAATGAAGACAGCTGTAAGATCTTTCCTTCCCCTTCCCCCATAGCAGTGTTAGCAGTTGGTAAATTAGTAAGCCTTGTAGTAAAATACAGATAACACATTACTATTTATTTCTGCGCTGTTGTTCAACTATTTTTTTTGCCTTGCCCAGTATTTGTCATTTTGTATTCTGCAAGTGAACACTGAGTCCGTGAAAATTCTTTTATGTTTCTTTTTCAGTTTTCTTTGTTTGCAAAGACTACCCATTGTAAGGTGCAAATGTATACTAGGAAGGAGCATGTTATGCACATCCCTGCATTTGTGTGACTGTGAACTCAAGGCTTCAGTGGCATTTCTCTTTTGTTTTAGTTTTGATTTTGAAAGCGTGGAAAGCACTGTGGAGAGCTCGGTGGACAAATCAAAGCCCTGGAGTAGGTCCATCGAGGATCTACACAGAGGAAGCAACCTGCCCTCCCCGGTGGGCAACAGTGTATCCCGCTCAGGAAGGCATTCTGCACTGCGGTGAGTTCCTTTAATCAGGAGGGAGGCATTGTGATAGGATATGTGGGGACAGCAGAGTTCCTGGCTTCTGGTGATGATCCTGGGCTACAGATTGCTGTAACTTCTCACGCAACCCTTGGATTTCTATTGATGCAAAGGAAAGTTTCTTCAGGAGTTTATGGGAGCATCAGTGGGACAATATTCTGTAGCTTTAAATAGATTTCTGGGAACACCACACCTGCACTCAGCACAGAAAGTTCTGCCAAATGATGGAATGCAGTAGACTCCATCGGCAGCTTAAGTTTTCAAAACCAGGGAGATGCTGACTTTGTGATTTAGGCTGTGTGTTCTGGGTAGAGGCAGCACCTCTTGAGATTTGGGGTTCTCAAGAATTCCTTGTTGGCTCTTCATACTCTTCTCCCCTCCCTTCTTCCATTGGTAGCTCAGGTGTGTGCTCTCTGGGATGTGTTCTTAGTCCTAGGTGCACAATGCTGTAGTGATCCTTTTTATTAATGAAATGCCTTTAAGCAGTGCTTCTTTGGTTAGGTGTGCTCAGTTGTCAACCTTCTGTTTCCTCCTAAGAATTTGTTCTCTAGTCTTTCATGGTTGAAATACCACCATGCTAAGGAAGGATGGGTGCTGATCATCTCTACTGCTAACAGCTGGAATGTCACTGCGATTGATTATTCACTCATTTCCACATTCATTCACTGAAAAATATTTTTGAGCTTCTGTAATTTGCCAGGCACTGTAGTTAGAGTTAAGGTACACGGATGGATAAATCAGAACCCTGTCTGTCAAGATGGAGATGACATCTAGTGCAAGTTCTTAAAGGTTGCTGTTCTGCAGAATTTTAATAAAAAAATTTTATTAATAAATGCCTCATTCCCAAATGTTGCTTATTCTTTGCAGCTTGAAAAATTTATGTCACTTATTTCAGACTTGATCTGGCAAGTGGATGTTGTTCCTGTCCATGTTTAAGATCCCCATGGATATTGGGTCATTGGTGGTGGGGTCCCATGTGTCAAGTTGTAAATCAGTGAAAATGTGGCTTTCAGACTTTTTGTAACTGGTAGCCTTTTATTTACCTTTTGTCCCTTTGACTTAGGTTTTGGTCATAGAAAGTTAATATCTCAATAATAAAGTTCAGTTTTGCAGAAGGATTTGACGTTTGAATGAGATGCTTCCAATCAACCATTCAGATTTTCCACGTTTGAAGATGCCAAAAATAATAATGGGTTTTGAATGGTTCAATAATAATGAAGAGCAGTGTTTCAGTTCGTCTCGTGGTATTTGCAATAGGCCAAGAGCTATATAACTTGCTAGTCTACGTCAACTTTACATGTGGACAAGGCTGATTTGGAAGTTGAAGAAAGGCCAGTCATGCCTGAGGAATTCCCTAATGACCTTGGTACCGGAATGGAAATTCTTACCATTAGTGTAGATATAATTATATGTAAGGAATTTAATTGACAAAAGTACATTTTAATTCACTTTTTTATCATTTCCTACTTGGAATGTATCATATATTGGCTAGGTACCACCTTCACAGGATTCATTTTTCTGATTTATAATTCATTATGCCTAATTTTGAATTATTAAAGACTGTTCATTGAGAACACATTGTTTCTAGAAGAGTGGAAGAATCAGGAAAATATGGGAATATTTTAGGTATAAGGAGAATGGTAGTCCTGGACCCTGGAAGGCATTGTTTGACAGTTGGCTCAAGGTAGATCCTGTTAGAATTCATTTTAAATTGGAAAAAAATGGACCAAAAGTATAGATAGACATGATGGAAATGCTGTTCTGGGAAAGTCAGCAAGTATATGACATGGATGGTTGGCAGATGTGCTAGAAGACGACCAATTAAGAAACCAATATCACATTCTTCTGTCTTGTGTTTGAACAGTTTCAAACTGAGGAACGGAACATTTGGATTTCCTTTGACTCTTCCTTCGCGGGTTCTAGTAACTCCAGAAAATCAAGGTGGCAGTAACTTTTATGCTGCTTATTGACCTGAAGCTTAGACTTTTTTTTTTTTTAACGTTTATTTTTATTTTAGACTTTTGTTTTTGAACAATGTCTATCAATGATACTCTTGTGGTTCATGGATTTGTGCCTGGATTCTAATTCTGTATTTGGTCATTTGATAGCATCTGTGACTTAAAAAACAAAACAAAACAACAATCAGAAGTACAGGCATATGGTACATGTTGCTTTTCATATACCCAAAGATCGTTTACATTTTTTTTCTTTTCCTCCTCCTCCTTCTCTCCCCTTTCTTTCTCTGCTCCCCACACTTCCTTCACTTTTTGGCTTTCTTTTCGTTGCCCTTCTTTTTCATTCTTCCATCTCATTTCTGATTGTCTTCTCGTCCTCTGCTTTGTCCTTTCTCATCCTCCTGTCTCCTCTCCCTCCGGTTCCATTCATGTCTTACACCACCACCAGATTGGTTTCTCTGCCTGAGTATCTTCAGTTCAAATGCCACCAGAGCTGCTCCTCTCCCCGTTGCCTCTGGAGCAGCTTCAGTTTACACACTGATGATGAGGCTTCAAACCGGAAAATCTCGTAAGTCACGGGTGGACACGACACCCATGAGAGCTCGTAGCGCATGGTGGCAGGGTATTGCGACCGATCCCCAGGTTATAATATGATAACCTCATGGCTTACTACCATCACCCTGTGCTGGAACAAAGTCCACTGCTTTTTAAACTTTGGTGCACTCTGTTAGCATATTATGATTCCTCAATTTAAGAATCTGACCCTTTAAGGTATATTGTGTTAATGTTACAGGTTTTTTGAAAAGAGTAGAAGGATATGAGTTCATGTACTGTAGCTTATTCTGGTAGCGTTGTTTGATAAGAGTGTCTTCTGTATCCAAATGCAGATTTTAGTTCCCTCATCTTAATCTCCAGATAAGAACATTGATTGAATAGAAATCTGACCCTATATCACTTGGCAAAAGGGGTTCAACTTGGAAGAAGAAAGGGGATTTCACAAAATTGACAACATTTTATAAATGGGGCTTGATGAAAGAAAAAAGGAAAAACACTGTTTTTACACAAAATTTTAATGTTGATGGACACTCTCCTCTTTGTATTCAGTTTTTAACTATTTAAAATGGAAGATTAAAAATTTTAGGATATGACATTCACCTTGAGTTATATTAACTGTTAGGTTTTATCTTCTCAATTTGTCAACTTGGCCAGTGGTAAAAACATTGATATTGATGTGGTGGAAACCTGGGATTGTAAGCTTAGGGCCTAGTTTTCCTTCAGTTAAGATTTCTGTTAATGTGGCCATAGGTCTGGCTAAATTAAATGATGCTATATATGCACATGAGTACATGTTTGATTTTTGAAGACAAAGGTTGTATTAATTCAGATGTAAGAGAAAGTCATTTTTAATTTTTAAGAACAGTTACTTAGTGTCATTAGACTAAATAAGCAGTGACATAGTAAATAGCTGTTTGGATTACTTTTTTAATGTTTATTTTTGAGAGAGACAGACAGCATGAGCAGGGAAAGGGCAGAGAGAGAGAGAGGGAGAAACAGAATCCGAAGCAGGCTCCAGGCTCTGAGCTGTCAGCCCAGAGCCTGACGCAGGGCTCAAACTCACAAACTGTGAGATCATGACTTGAGCCAAAGTTAGACACTTAACTGACTGAGCCACCCAGGCGCCCCTCTGTTTTGAGTTTTAAAAGAAATGGGTAGAATTCTAAGAGCTTGGAAGAAGGGGCCAGATTTTAACTGGGACTTTGGGTGATGGCCAGAGTTGATCTTCAGGGTGAGGAGAGTGCTTCAGGTAGAAGTAAAGTGAGGAGGCATGAGATGAGCAAAAGTGTATATCTGAGATCCGGCATGTTTGGGAAAGAGGGAAGAACCTGTCCTTTGTGATGGAGGTAGAGGGCTATTTAATGGAGACATTGGGTCATAGACAAACAAAGCTGGCAAGGGTTTGTTAGCAAATGCCTTGTAGGTAACCCCGACTGACCCTTCCCATTGTGGTAAGGGAACCAAGATCCACATTTCCTCTAAGATGTTAACTTCCATAAGCATTTCTTCCTAAGATCCCCCAGAACAAATTTCACATTTTTTCCTGAGATTATTATCAAAAGGAATGACATTTCCTGAGTAGTCATCAACTGAGTATTTACCATCTATTATCCTTAGTGGATTTACATGAAGAGCCGAAGAGTTCAAATTTAGATCGTTGTTGATAAACACTTTAGCACAGTTACCCCATTCCTGGCAGTGTTTTCCATGTCAGTAATTTTTAAAAATATTTAACAATAGGCACAAAGGTAATAGATGACATTGATAGGATTTTTATTGGGGGGAAAAACATATTGAGTGTCTACCGTGTGCCAGGCACTGTTCTAAGGCCCTTCAGTGATTTACTGTTCACCATGGCTTTATGGGATAGTGATGACTCTTATCCCTGCAAAGAAGCTGAGGTCTCTAGTGGTTAAGCAACTTTCCTGAGATCAAACAGTGAGTATAGGAGGTGGGATGTGTAGTGAGCTGGCCTGACTCCAACTTTTAAACCATGTTATCCTGCCTATTTATTCACAGGATGATTTTTTTCTCCCTCAGTAAATAGTCTCTGTTATATCAGGGTGTCCACCTGTCTTTATGTCAGTTGTACCCTGCAGGAAGGGCTTTTGCTGATCTTTCTCAGAAAATGTGCCTTTTTCTACTTCATGCAAAGATGCCAGAGGAGCTACTGGAGACCCTCATCAATATGCTGTCAACATAAATGATCAGTATAGCTTAGCTATTACAAACAAGTTACATAGAAACATGAAAAAGTAACTTCTAAACAAAGGACAAGAGTCAGACAAAAAGTTCTGCATTTATATGATTTCATTTTCGCCTACGTGCAGATGGGAAGGCATTGAAAAAGAGTTTATCAAATGAAAATAGTGACTGTTTTTCACCAAAGGCGAGATTATGAGTAAGCGTTTTTCAGATTTTTGTTTGTACAATGTTTTAGAACTGATGTAAAATACATGTAGTATA